ATGAAGCGCTTTGGGTGTATGGGCATACACGATAATTTTTTTATTATTTTAATTACACGATTAATTATTTACTTACCCTGTGCTATCCCATAATGCATGTGTATGGATCTCCAAACTTGATGCATAAAAAAACACAAAGTAAAAATGTTGCTATAACCCCAGTATACCCAGTAAAGGTGTAAAAATCTACTAAAAAATACTTTTTTACCCTTTGTTCTAACCAGCCATCTTAATATTCATAAGTAGATTCAAAAGTGTGATGTGATCTTACAGTGTAGCCTACATCATAATTTTAGAACTGGTTGTCAACCGGAACTGCTCCTTTAAGCTGTTTTCGCCTATGATTAAGATATTCTTTTATATTTCGATTTGCTAAATTTATCCTCTAGGAAGCTGAGTCGTGAAGGGATTTATCACAAACCGATGAGCATGCCACTTAAAAGAGCAGAATGAATGGTTTCTAAAAATGTCTGTGAAGCATTTTTTACCTTATAAGTGCAGTAGGGACATTGTTTATAGCACAGAATGGATACTGTCATCACTGTTAGAAAAGAGTGATCATTTGAAAGCGAAGGACGGTACTCTTAGTCATGTTGGAGTGTTTGGGGAAATAAACAAAAGGAATATATTTTCTGCCTGTTGCAAACAATACCCTGCATATAACCATATAAGTAGATGTGTATATTAAATCCTTGGGTCCTAGATAATTTATATATATTTTCTTTAGAAATACAAGCGTAGGCATGATTTATATTTGTCATTATGCTAGCATCAGCATTAAAGCACAAGCTTTGTTTCTAAATAACACAATTTAAATATAATTTTGTTGTTTTTTAAGATCAAAAGTTATATATACAGTGAGTAAAATAAGTATTGAGCACATCATGATTTTAAATGTGGTAAATATATTTCTAAAGGAGCTGTTGACAGATTTTTTGTAAAAACTTAAACAATCGAATCATATAAACATACTTTTTTTTTCAAGAAAGCATAGTTATGTGTTTTAACAATAGAATGCTACAAGAAGTAAGTACTGAACTATTGAAAAGTATTTTGTACTGTATACAATTTTATATATATATATATATATGTATATATATATATATATATATATATATATATATATATATATATATATTTTTTTTTTTTTTTTTTTTTTTTTTTTTTTGGTAATGCCAGCTTCAAGATGCTTCTTCTATGAAGATTGAAGTTGCAGGCATTGCTCAGCAGCTGTGATTTTTCCCCAGACTTTAACTGAGTTTAAAAATCTTGAAAATTCTGTCAGGCTCATTTATCACCTCTGATATTTAGTTCTTATTCATTGGATTCAAGTCAGGTGACTGGACGGGCTATTCGCATTCATTCATTTATTCATCACAATGGATTAAACCACCAGCTTATCCAGCATGTGTTTTACACAGCGGATGCCCTTTCAGCTACAACCCAGCACTGGGAAACACCCATACACTTTTGAATCCATACCCAGATATACAACATGCAAACTCCACAAAGAAATGCCAGCTGACTCAGCCGGGGCTTGAACCAGCGGCCTTCTTGCTGTGAGGTGACAGCGCTACTCATTGCGCCACCGCGTCACCCCACTGGGCCTATCTATCGGCTTTAATTTCTTTCTCTGAAACCATTTGAGATTTGACTTGGCTGTGTTTGGATCATTGTCTTGCTAGAATATCCATCTTTTGACAATATAGGTATTGAGACTGAAGAAGCATGAGAGATGAGAAAATCTCTCTGTGAGAGATTTAATCTTCTGTCTGGGCTTTTCTTGCCTTGTTACACCTCCCTTTCTTCATGTGTTCAATACTGTTTCTCTCTGTCCTTTCATCTTTCTAAATGAATTAATTTTATTCTTGGAAGGTATGGGTTAATTTGGTTATTACCAACATCTGCAGGACCTTTAGAAATATGTCTTCTGAGAAATAGTATAAAACACTATAAATAGTTGTTTTTGATGGAAAAAAGTCTTATTTTACAACCATTTTACTTCCAATATTTCATGCTGCAGTTTTTGTAAACTGATTTCTTCATCAGAAGTCACCATTTGCTCACCCTAATGCTATTCCATACTAAAAGGTTAATAATCATTTAGTTTGTCATATCACAGTGAGTTATAAACTCATTTAAAAACTATATGAAATAAAAAAAAAAGCTTCAAAAAGCATGATTGCAAAAAAAGATGAATCACAACACCATATGCTACAATAACAGTGATCTACAGAGAGTGTACTCTTAGGCTTCTATTATTTTACAATACGGACAATAGGGTTATCTACAACCAAAGTCTGACTAGAATTTATAGTGCACATTAAGTGGCTTGAAAAGAACTGCTGTGTAGAATAAGCTTCCATCATTACTAGATCTGGCTATACAACAACAACCTGAAAGAGACAACTAAAGACACACTCCATCTCTTAAACCAAGGGTAATCAGAACACTTTCTAGAAATCCTTTCCACCTTATTTTGCAATAGGCTATTTTCTGTTAATGTGTTAAGAAGACTGCTGATTTATTTACAACAATGGGTAAATGACTAGGAATAACAAATGACACTAAACAGTCAAACTACTTGCACTACAAAGCAGTTTGTTTATGACAATACATTAAACTAAGATGGTTATAAATACCAGCTTGCAACATCAAGCTGCATAACAAGCTGTTTGGTACAGTTTAAATCCCACACATTTTTTTGTCTAACACATTAACATTGACATCTGTATGTAACATAAATAAAATAATAAAAATGATTTTCATTTCTGCTGGTTTGGCATGTTGATCAAATTTTGTTTTCTTTTTTTTTTTTTTTTACTGTAAGCTGTTTATATTAGAGAGTGATGTAAATGGTCTGCAAGATAATACCATAAGAAATACCACAAGGCTCAAATACCGTGAGAAAAATCAATACAGCTTTGCACTGGAAACTATATGTTTTTCGCTAGTTATAGCTAAATGTTGCACCAGAATGTTTTTAGTATTTTAATATTGATCTAACTGTCAGCCTGTCTTCTTACTGTTGTTGCTGTTTTCAGGTCAGATCATGCAGACTCTGGAGCGCTTAAACTTGAAGGACAACACTCTAGTGTACATGACCTCAGATCAGGGGCCTCACCTGGAAGAGATTTCAGTCCACGGAGAGATGCATGGGGGCTATAGCGGCATATACAAAGGTATTTTATCTAAGGGCTTTTCCCAGGCTTATGCCTTTTTCCCCCAAACTCCCTAAACTTATTTTAAAAGACATCCCACTACAGTTTTCAACTGAAATGAACACTAGAGGCAGTGAAGCATAAATAACATAATTAGCTATATAAAGTTGCAGGCACTTGTTTGAAAATGTTATCAAGTGAAAATGCTTTTAAAAATAATACCAAAAATGTATTTTATTTATCAATCAGCATTTGGACTTTTGTGGTTACAACTCCTTTTGTCCTTGGTATATTTGTGCATAGTCATTCAAGTATTTTTGTAGTCACGACTCTTGAAGTGGTTGGGAGAATTTGCCACAGTTTTTCTGTATTAAGTCTGTCTGAGTTTTCTGTTTCTTCATGTGCTGCTGTCAGACTCTTTGTGCATACGGAAATCTCACTGGATTATTACAATTAACAGCAAAAATTATATTCGGAAATGTAAATGGGTAATTCCCGTTGATACCTTACACCAACAGAAATAAATAATCAACTTAAAACCATTCTTGTTGGTGAAAATACCATTGGTCTTTGGCATTTGCACTGTACATTCTAACATATATTTAGACATGGCTTTTTCAATAAAATGTCCTTGCTTGATAAATACCTGGTATAACGTTTTGCTTTACATTACATGTTTTCATCTAGCAGATGCTTTCATCCAAAGCAACTTACAAATTATAAATGAAGCATTTCAAATGACAAGAGAGCATCACTTTATAAAGGCCATGACAAGTCTACAAGTACATGACAATTTAGAATAAAACACACCCACCCATGCCCACTCACCTGCTTGAAGGATGTGATACTCACAGTTGTACAATATTTTCCCAGAAACTGGGAGAGTGTTTATAAGAAAGTTTCTGGTGCATATGGAGAGGTGGTTTGTCAAGCCCACTCACCTGTGTGAAGTACAATCAGAATAACACAGTGTTTTCTAGAAAAAAAAAAAAATGTTTATAACCGAATTCACTTATAATGCAGAATACTCTTGTAAAATATGGATGAACACATATATAGTTGAAATATAGTAAAACAAAAATAATATTTGCATTTGAAGCAGTTCAAATACATAAAACATTTTAAAATACCTTTTATAGCATCATTCAAGTAGGGGTGGGAATCTTTTGTAGAGTCTTTTCTTTTATTTAAATATTTATCTTTGTCCAAATTAATCAAATTCAACAGCACGTGTATGTTAACGCTTATTACTTTTCCTGATTTTAGCTCTCACCTGTGCTGACATGCACCTTCACAATCTAATTTGTATACTGAATCGCTACTCAAAAGTTCAGAATTACTAAAATAAGAATCACGATGCATCTATGAATCAATTTACTCCTCACCCCTACACATTTTACATGAGCCTTGGTTACAGTTTTTCTCAGTAGCTTTGGCACATTTCTCAGATCAAAATTGAAATTTGCAAACCAGTGAGTGCATTTCTCAAAAAAGAGTGCATAAATCGCTAAACACCATGGATTTCCTCCAAAAGCCAGCCTCTTGCTCAAAATCCTTAATTCAACCTTTAGAACAAAATTTCTTTGTCAATTAATGTGTCAGTGTCATCAGAATGACAAGTTCTGCGGTCATTGTGTATGGATAATACTGTCAAATTACTTCGTCATGTTGTCAATATACTGTAACAGTGTACTCTGGAGGAGTGTTCTGATGTAAACGATGGCTAATTTTATGCCTTTGTACTGTAATTTCTAGACAGATCATGTCATTGTGATACAAAAAGGAAAAGACAGCACTGCATAGCACAAAGAAAAACAAAACAAAAGTAGAAATTTGAACATAGGACAACCTCCTTTCAGATACACCTTTTTAGAAAAAGCCAAGATTCACCTGTGAGAAATTTACCAATTTACCAAAAATGCATTATGACAAAATAGTATGAGAATTTGTTCAGCCATTTTGCATGTAAAGACTTATGCAATAAACACAGGATTAAATATTGTGGGGGGTGAGACTATTCAACAGAAACCAAAATAATACATTTTGATCAGCTTGGCATAAGCAACTGATAATGTAGGAAACATCAGAGAACTGCACATAATCATTTGCATAGATGTACAAAAGCATTTGCAACTGGTTCAAAGGAATGAGAAACTGCTTTTCTTATGTGCACAAGTGACACAATGATCTGAAGATTGAACAGGTAGTTTTGAGAATTTCTATTCTGATCAGAGAAATGGACCAAAGCGACTGAGGAAAACTGTAATATAGTCCTGAGGACCGGTTCGCCAACTCGTGAACAAAGCATTTTTGTTATGAAATGAGCAATGACAGTGTTTAAATTCACTCCCTCTGCCTCTCTGTGCCCCGTCTTGTGCAGCTGGCAAGTCAACTAACTGGGAAGGAGGAATCCGAATTCCGGGCATTCTTAGTTGGCCAGGTGTCTTACCCGCCGGGAATATCATCGATGAGCCCACTAGTAACATGGATATTTTCCCTACGGTCTTGAATTTAGCTGGTGCTTCCATACCCGATGACAGGTGAGAATGTGTCGCCTAGCAACAAGATCTGCCAGTCAAAGGTCTGGTTACCGAGGCAGCAGATGCAGGTACAATAGATGCTTCTTACTCAGAGGTAGATTGAAATGTTTGGATGAGCAAAAGTCAATAGCTTGGAATGTGCTTTCGCTTGCTTAATAAGATGAACATTCCTAGCAGGTCATTAGTAACAGAATAATGACGTTTTGTGTTATGGCCACCCAAACCACTAAATGGACTCAATAACTGGGCTAGTAATTGCAGTGCATCGCCATTTGTTTCTATTTCAGAGTCATCGATGGTCATGATCTTTTGCCACTTCTGCAAGGGCAAGTGAAGCGTTCTGAACATGAACTCTTGTTTCATTACTGCAATGCTGAACTGAATGCTGTCAGATGGCGCCCACCCAACAGTGAGTCCTAATTTCACCACACTCATCTATCTCCTCTTTTATAAAATACCAGTTACGAAAACGAATGGAATGTGTTATTCATAAAGTGTATATTTTATATAATTTGTCAGACAGACAGACAGACAGACAGACAGATAGATAGATAGATAGATAGATAGATAGATAGATAGATAGATAGATAGATAGATAGATAGATAGATAGATAGATAGATAGATAGATAGATAGATAGATAGATAGATAGATAGATAGATAGTGCAGATGAAAAATACAATTTATATTGACTTAAAAGTCAACATCATTTTGTGCTCTACTCTGTAAGTTTTCCATTATGCCTAACTTGATTTTTCGATAAATAGAAAGAACATTAAACACAAATCAAATATCTACTTTAATGCTTGAAATTACTTTTTTTAATATGAGTAAAATAATTTTCCACCATCAGTCAAACAATTTTGACAAATGAATTAGGGATTATGCAAAATTTGCTTGTATTTTGAATAAATTGTTTTCTTGTCAAAGTTCAAAATTGCTCAAAATTCTGCTCTGTGGATATTCTGATCATGTACACATACTTAAATATCCATGAACCACACACACATGCTCAATGTAAAAGCAAAGTACGCTCAAATGACGGGACTATCTCTATGTAGTGTTGTTGTTTCTGCTTCTTACCGCAACTACAGCCTAGCACCTCAAATGTAACACATGAATTTTAATGATATTACATATAAATATACTTTCTAAATAATTTAAACTATTAAATTCAGGGAATAAGCCGAAGGAAAGGGAAAGTGAAAGTGATAAACTCTTATTAGCGATGTATAAATTATTTTATTTTTTTTCAGTGTGGAATGTATATCAGGCTACTCAATTCAACTGGACTTAATATTTTTACGGTTCGAATTGTTGACTGACTAGTAGTTTATTTGTCACTTTGGAATAAAGAGTCGCCTAAATTACAGGAAAAGTTATCTTCTGTAGACACAAGAGAACTAACCGAGTTAGTGGCTCCATCTAGTGGTGGAGTGTGAATCTGTCCGAGACTCCCGACATTGGAGTACAAAATATGAGTAGCAATGTTCGTTTATTTCATTTGACTTTTATTCCAATTCTATTTTTGCTGGTCAGAATTATTAAATGATAAAATTAGAATTTTTAGAATGAAAATATCTAAAATGGCTGCATTCAAAACCAAGATGAATCATACATCTAGGCTTTCTTTGTTAATAGAGAGAGAAAATAATAGAGGATAATTTACTGTTGAGTTTGAATAGAATGTTTGATTAGATTGCATTTTTTTTAGAGTGGGATATACACAAATTAAAATAAATTACTACAGTTTTGAGTCTTAAACGTATCTGTACAACAAAAATAGATTTAGCCTATAATGACAGTAATTACAGAGACCGCCTTGTGCGATTATGATGTTTGGAACAAGAATAAAGTACACAAGCCTCCTGCAGCCTACATATAACATCATTTGTATGCCGAATACGATATATAGCTCACGTTTCTGTCAAAACTAATATGATTGATCTGATTCTTTAATTGATGTAATCTAGTTAAATTTGCTTACAGCTCAGGATTTGAAGATCAGAATCACACATTAAGTTGAGATGCATCTTTGTGGCCAAATGTAAATGAAACCACTTTTGTTAAGGTTTGAAAAGGGCTGAGATTTTAGATAAAGTGCTTAAAAATGTAATTGTAATTGTACAAGTTTTTGTGTAAAGAGGTAATAATTATTACATATTTAAAAAAGATAATAAATTAGTGTAATTCAACTTTGGGGTTGGGGCCTTTAAAAATTGTCATTAAAATAATAGAACAATTAGCATTTAATGTAATGTGATGAAGTGATGAAATTTGCATTTAGAAGATATTAACATCCAAAGCTTTTTACCTCACCTCAGTTTCTCATCAAATCTTCTAACCAATCAAATGCTCTTTAGTATCTAACACGCCCCGCCCCCTTAAAAAAGCTTCTCAATTGTTATTATTTGATGCGCTTGTTATTAATCACTCTCAATGGCAGACCTGTAATAAAACTGCTATTGGCTGTTTTTTTTTTTTTTTTTTTAATGGGAGGAGCTACTTTATGCTCTGCCCTGTCTTAATGTTTTGGTTGAGATGACGTCAAACATTGAATGGAAAAATAAATACACATTACAAAGCACTTTACATGACCTTCAAAGAATTTTGTAGTTAAGGATCGAGAAATGAACAGATGAACTCTAGCTTTCTGCTTTTTCCTAGGTAGTGCAATTTGGAAGGCCTTTTTCTTTACCCCTGACTTCTACCCAAAGAACAGCTCGGCATGTTTCCACACTCATGTCTGCTTCTGCATCAAGCCATTCGTCACGTTTCATGATCCTCCGCTGCTTTATGACCTATCCAAAGACCCAACAGAAAGCACCCCCCTGAGTCCCGACACCGAGCCTCAGTTCCACTCAGTTCTAGAGGTCATAAGAGCCGCAGTAAGCCGTCATACACAGAGCCTGAAACCTGTCCCAGTGCAGGTCTCTCCTCTGAAAATAGTGTGGAAGCCTTGGCTCCAGCCCTGCTGTTCTTCTCTCAGTCAGCTGTGCAGGTGTGAACGAGATCATCAGATAGAGAAGGTACAGGACGGGCTTCAAAAAGAATAGTCTGCTGCTCAGAATCATAAGGGCATGTAATACGTAAAGGAATAGTTCCCTCAAAGCTGAAAAATTCTTTCATCATTTTCAAACCTTTCAAATGTTGTTTTAAAACTTTTTCTTCTGTGGAACATAAAAAATATAAAAATACTATGAAGAATGTTAATAATAATCTGATGGTTTTGGTGATCATTGGCATGTTCCAAGAAGAAAAACAAACAAACAAACAATGCATTGTAGGGCTGCACGATTCTGGCTAAAATGAGAATCACATTTTTTTTTTTTTTTACTTAAAATCAAGTGCACACTATTCCCACGATTCTGTAGATGATAAATAAAGGCTAATTTGAGTAGGCTATTATTATTGTTATTCACAAAAATATGGTAAAACAACAATAATAATATTAGGCCTATGTGTAAGTCTACTGTTGGTTAAATTGCGAAATTTTAAATGAACTTTAAATGGTGGACTTGAACAGATTTTTAATTTATCGTGGTTTGTATGCACAGTAAAGTGATGGCATCAGAATACAACTATTCATAATTATTAAGTTCAATTATTTTGTTTGAGACATATGCTTGCAATCTGTCGTTGAAATCATTATTTTATTCACTGGTGAAATCAGACATTTCATCACCTTGGAATTGTAAGGTTCTATCTACATTCTGAATGATTTTGAGATATTGAGCTTTTTAATAAAAGGTCCTAAAATGTAAACAAATGTAAAAAAAAAAAAAAAAAAATCCCATAATGTAAATAAGTTGTCATTAAATAAGAATATGTCAATCACTCAATTTTGACAAAAATGCCAGATAGAACCTTATAATTCTAAGTGACGATTTGTCATTATCAGATTCCCTCATGCATTTTATTTAATATATAGGCTAGAGTAGTTATAGTCACACTCTGCTCGCTATGAAAGAAAAAAAACAAAAACAAATCAAATGTTTGTAGTAATCATAACTCTAAAAAGTGATATGATCATTTAAATGATGTGCGTGTTTTTGTTTTCACTTTTCACTGAAGAGTGCGCTCATGTCATGGCTGCCGTCACTTTGAAAAAAAAAAAAAAAAAAACATACATGGAAATCATACGTCTCATGCGGCTCTCAAACGATTGCTCTGTGTAACAAACTAAACGTTATTTACAACTTTATTACCTGTTATTTACAGCCTATGCAGGTTCTATTCACTAATGTAGACTTCATTCGCAAGCATGCACTCGTCCTCTCAGGAGTAAACAGTTTGTTTTTTTGTCTTTACATTAAAAAGAAACTACATTTTTGGGTGAATTATATATTATAAATACAGTATGTCACTCTTTCAACGCCATTTGGAGGTGATGAGCTATGTATGTAAAACAATGTAAAGACTTGTGTGACATCTTTTACGCTTCTCTCCTGAACTTATATAATGATATAATTGGCTGAATTGTAGAGATGCTGGATTAAGATCATGTGGGGGGTTGATTTGAGATTTGAGATCAAGATTAATCGTGCAGCCCTACTGCATTGTAAACATTACTTTTTTCTTTAATTTTACTGTGAACACCATATGGGCATTGAAAGTGGCGCCTCTGAAAACAGCCAATTCTCATGCTCTGTGTACTATCATTCTACCATGGTACGGCAACTGGGTTTCTTGACTATTATGCCAGAATGAGAATATAGTTCCTAATAATATTGGCCTACAAAATAGTCGTTTTAATCTTTTTTTTTATTTTCCATCGGTTTTATTACATGATGTAACTAGTGAAGCCTAAAGCTTTAAATGGGACAATATCAAATCTCCTTTTTACATTTTTTTTCAACAAAATGCTAAAGGTCAAATACTATTCAGTTCATTAAGCTAAGCTAAAAGTAAAATGGTTCAATTCAACTGTTTAACTTTAGGAGACTTGTAAAATGAGCCTTTTTCAAAAATGAGGTTGAATGTTTCTTATTATATATATTTATGCAGTTAAAGTCAGAATTATTAGCCCCCCTGAATTATTAGACCGCTTGTTTATTCTTTCCCCAACTTCTGTTTAACAGAAAGAAGATTTTTTTCAATACATTTCTAAACATAATAGTTCTAAAAACTAATTTCTAATAATGGATTTTATTTTATCTTTGCCATGATGACAGTAAATAATATTTTACTAGATATTTTTCAAGACACTTCTATACAGCTTAAATGACATATAAATGCTTAACTAGGTTCATTAGGTTAACTAGCCAAGTTATTGTATAATGATGGTTTGTTCTATAGATTATCAAGAAAAAATATAGCTTAAAGGGGCTAATAATTTTGTCCTAAAATTTTGTCCTAAAATAAAAACTGCTTTTATTCTAGCCAAAATAAAAAAAACAAGACTTTTCCAGAAAAAAAAAATATATATATTATCAAGCATACTGTAAAAATGTTGTTACTCTGTTAAACATCATTTGGAAAATATAAAAAAAAAGAAATAAAAATTCAAATTTTGTTTTTTCATATCCTTTTTATCTTCATTTTGATACATTTTTGTTGGTAAATAATTTGTTTAATTAACAAGCGGATCAAATAAAATCAAGCGGAGTGAAGTGCTTTTAAAAACAAAGCCCACTGCCATGCTTCTGCAGCCTCTATCAAAATGCAAGAACAAACCATAATAAAAAAAGAGTAAATTATACCAAATTGTTCAGCTTTGTAGGAACCATACTTTTAAAAAGATGTGTTCATGACTTGTTGTAATTGTGGTAATTATGAGATTTCAAGATGTAAAAAGTGTTTATGTCCTTTCAGAACTCATAATTACATCTCGCAAATGGGGAATAATTTGAGAGAGATGGTACAGCCGTCACAGTAAATTGATTCAGGCACTATATTTAGACATGCTGTACATATTTTTACATAGAATGTCATCTCAAAATCATGCCATTGTTTGGCTAATTTTCACAAACAAAATGGTGTCAATTTTCAAGTTGACCAACCAGAAATAGCTGTGTTTTTGCATTGCTGTACATCTGTTCATAAACTATGAGCTTGTTTTTTTTTTTTTTTAAATTGGCTCAAATGTTTATGGAGTGACCTCTCCTAAATGAGATAAATGTACATTTTTACTATAAAAAATATAAAGAGCCTTGCTATACAGAGGTTTAAAGGTAACGGGAAAAATAAATAAAAAACATACTCCTCACAAGTTTGTATCACAAGATCTAAGGTCATCTGTGGCAACAGTGTTTGTAAGCGCAGGCAGGTTCTCTGTCCAGAGGTCTGTATTCCTCCTAGTCTGGAGATGCATCATCCTACAGTATTACAACAGTGTAAGGTCAGGGATTTTGTGAAGCAGTAATTACTACCTTTATGCTCGTAAGCTTTGATCTAGCCTGCAAACGGTAACGACTCAACACCCATAATGCCTCTTACAGGCTTTGGAGCACTGAGGGTTTTTTTGTGGTATTTTTGGTATCCAATCTGTTTTGCTTATTTTTGTGACTAATCAGGCTTTGCTGAATGGTTTGCCAGACTTAAGAGGCTCTCCATGCTCTCAACATCATGTTCATTACACTAATCTCATCACATTTAAAACTGGTCTGTGTCAGGAAATAAAATAAAAAAAACAAGATGTTTTGCTTATTTTTCAAGAGCCAGATGTGATATTCATTGGAATTATAAGATACTTTATGGCTTGATGTATTTATCTCATTCTCTGGAATATTTAGAGTTTTGCGAATCAGATATTGACAAAATTTGCCTGGCTAAATTTCATAAATGTCAGCTTTTGATCCTTAACTAATGTTTACTTTTCACTGCATCATTTTCCGAAGCTTTCTTGATTATCTACAGTCCTGAAATATCAGTGCAGTTTTTAAAAATGATTTCAAGTTGCCGTTTTTTGGAATATGATCAAACAATCTTACTAGCATCTCTTTGAATCAGATTTGAAAACATTTTGACCACTTCTTACAGCATATCTACTAAACTGCATCACATTTATGTGAACAGATACACTGACTTTTAAAGATCTAGTTAAAAGAGCAGATGGCGGTACCCAGGGGAGCCTTGAAAGCGATTGAGCATGGGGCTCCTCAAACCGAAGGAGATCCAGGCTTATGTCAAAATAGACAAGTTCAATCATTCTGATTTTCCGGGCACTTTTGCAGAGGGGAGAGATCAATCAGTTGCATTATGGGAGGCCTGCTTGACTTAAAATGATCAAAGGTAACAGAAGGGATGGATAGAAGAGAAGAGATAGATTTCTCAAATTTGTAGAAACTTTATTTGTAATGAGTTTTTGGAAGTTGGAAAATGTAACGTTTGAGTGTTCTTTTTCAGCAATGAATGACTCAATAATAATGATAAAACTTTGTTTCAGCAGTTCAGTCATTTAATACGATTAAAATTTTTGCTATTTTTATAATTGCTTTTGAATAATATATTAAAATATAATAAAAAATATTATGAGAAAGAGTTACAGTGAAGCATACTGGCAATATAATTGCATGCACACTTGAAAATAATATTAGTACATAAAATGTAAGTAAAATTCATAATATGTTAGTTAATTAACTAATATTAATTCAGGGTGATGCGGTGGCGCAGTAGTGCTGTATCCTCACAGCTAGAAGGTCATTGGTTCGAGCCTCGGCCGTTGTGTATGTATGTGAATGAGTGTATGGGTGTTCCCCAGTGATGGGTTGCAGCTGGAAGGGCATCTGCTGCGTAAAACATATCCTAAATAAGTTGGCGGTTTATTCTGTTGGCGACCTCAGATTAATAAAGGAGCTAAGCCGAAAAAAAAAAATTAATGAATAAATAATTCCTATTTAAGGGGCGGCACCGCAGCTCAGCGTTTAGCACTGTTGCCTCACAGCAATAAGGTCACTGATTCGAGTTCCGGCTGGGCCAGTTGGCATTTATGTGTGGAGTTTGCATGTTCTCCCCGTGTTCACAAGGGTTTCCTCCGGGTGATCTGGTTTCCCCCACAAGCCCAAAGACATGCGGTACAGGTGAATTGGGTAAGCTAAATTGTCCTTAGTGTATGTGTGTCAATGAGTGTGTATATGGATGTTTCCTAGTGAGGGGTTGCAGCTAGAAGGGCATCCGCCGTGTAAAACATATGCTGGATAAGTTTGCGAATTCATTCCACTGTGGCGACCCCAGATTAAAAAAGGGACTAAGCCGAAAAGAAAATAAATAAATAATTTCTATTTAGGGGGTGCCTCACAGCAAAAAGGTTGCTGATTCGAATCCCGACTGGGCCAGTTGGCATTTCTGTGTGGAGTTTGTATGTTCTCCCCGTGTTCACGTAGGTTTCCTCCTGGTGCACCGGTTTCCTTCACAAGTCCAAAGACGTGGTACAGGTGAATTGAATCAATTAAATTGGCCGTAGTGTCATTTTTTTTTTCTCAACACATTTCTAAACATAATAGTTTAAATAACGCAACTATAATAACTGATTTATTTTATCTTTGTCATGATGACAGTGAATAATATTTTACTAGATATTTTTCAAAACACTTCTATACAGCTTAAAGTGGCGTTTAAAGGAATAACTATTAATTAGGTTAACTAGGCAGGATATGGTAACAGGGTAATTAGGCAAGTCATTGT